CTGCAGTGGGCTCAACTGTGTAAGGAAGTGAAAAGATGGCACAGAATAGAACATGGTTCAGATCCACTGTTCATGGGGTTGCTAGAAGTCTTACTCTAGAAGACTTGACAGCACATAACAACAACCAAGTTTTGCAACCTGAAATCAATTACCATGCAATCAAGATTTTTAGTAATAATAGGTGGCTGGAATGCAAAAGTTGGAGGCAAAGAAGGACTAGTAGTTGGAGTCTTGGTAACAGAAATGAAGCCAGAGATGCAGCAATTAAATTTCATACAGCCAATGAATTATGCATTGCAAATATCTTTAAAAAAAAAAACAACACACACACACAAAAAAACCCCACAAATGTTAACTCTACACATGGACCTCCTCTATGGACTACTCAGGGATCAGGTTGACTACGTTTGTGGATAGAATTATCAGAGAATAAATCTTTTCTCTCTAGAGAAAGTGTTGTAGGCCACATGTAGGGAAACTCATTACCGCTCTTTTATTTGGGCTTTCGTGGGAGTTAAGGAAGAGTTGCTTTCCACATTTAACCCTTTTATAGCTATTTAGTTTATCTGATTATGGATAATGTTTGCATAATTCCACTTCATATCTTTTATTTGAGGGGAACACAATTGGATCCACGCCATGGCCCAATGACACAGCTGAGTATCTTCGTTCAGGAAGCATGCGAGTGTAGTGAGTGCCTTTGGGAATTTGTCAGACAACTAGGTTTGCTGACTCATGGAAGTAAATCCAAGAGTCTTTGGACTCAGATTTTTTGCTGAAGTCAGTTGCTTTGGGGAAATTAAAACTGCTGATAGAAAAGAGAGTGGTCTGTTAAGGTGAGAGATACTGAATAAAGAATCACCTACCATTGGTTTTTCTCAGTTCCTCAACGAGAGTTCGGGCTTCCTGTTGAACACGTTCCTCAATGCTTCTCTTGCCCATTCCGAAATTCCGCAGAGTCATGAGAGAGAAGCGTCTGATGTTTTTCCATGTCTTTCCATTGCTGAAAACGATTCCTGTCAAAACGGGTAACAGAGAGAAGAACAGAGATCTTGGGCAAGAAAGTGGACACTTGGGTAATTATCAGGCTAGCCCTTCAACCTCTGTTGGGCACTGCTTGCCGTTTCTACTACACACACACATACCACCGTTTTTATTAGTTCTTTCAGCCACTGGGAAATGGCCTCTTCCAGAAAAGTCCTCTCCTTGATCCAACAAAGCTTCTTTCACTGCTTCATAGCCATGCAAAACCACTCTGGGTTTCATGCCAAAATATATAGTGAACACAGGGCCATAGGTTTCTGAGAACTGGGAAAAAGAAGGGAGATGCAATTTTAGTAAAAGATGTAAGTCTTTGTTCTATATATTGTACAAAATTTACATTGATAATGTTATTATATTGTTAATGTTTCATTTTGATACACAAAACTTCAAATATTTTTCAATATTATTCACATGTTTGATCTTTCTCTCTCATTGCTGTTATGTGAGAACTGACTCATAGCTCAGAAGCTATAAATCCACTGGAGATGGCCCATCTTTCTCCTGTGGAGCAACTGGTGTATTTGAACTACCTGCCTTTGGGTTGCCAGTGCACTCCCTACCTACTAAGTCACCAGAGTATAAGTAGGCTACATACACTTTTTATTTTTATACCATTGTTTCTGCGTTGCCCTGCATATTAGTTAGGGAGCTTTAGCAGCCTAGTGGCAAGAAGCTCTGCTGCAATCCTGAAGGCACATGGTTCAAATCCACCAGTTCCTCTGCGGGAGAAGGACTAGCAATCTCCTCTCATGCTATTAACTGCCTCTGAAAACTCACCAGAAGGTCAACTATGGGTTAGTTCCAACTCAGTGGTACACAACAACAACAACAGCATATTAGTTAATGATCTCTGGGAAATATTTACAAATAGTGTTGAAAGTAAAACTCACTGCTAGTCAGTCAATTGAGGCTCATAGTGACCTTTAAGCAGAGTAGACCTACTCTGCAGGCTTTTCGCGGGCTATAAATCTTTATGGAAGAAGACTGAACTTTCTTTCATGGACATTAGCAGTCACACATTTTAACCACCACCCAAACAGGGATTTCAATGTGCCAGGTAATAAACTGTGCACTTGGTCTTCACATTATTGCAGCTAATCGTTACTCCAATGTTGTTGTTAAGTGTCATCAAGTCGTAGATAACTCATAGCAACCTTATAAACAAAAGACTTGAACACTTGTATAACTTTGGTAATTTCTCTATGTTCATAATTTCCAGAAGCTAGCCCTTTCGGAAGTGGATGCCACTTCTGCTTCCAAGCTTGATTTAATTGGGAAGATCTACCAAACACTGTCAACCATGGGTAACCATTATCACATTTGGCACATCAGTGTCACAGTGTTTAGCATCACAGCAACCACGAGTTACCTCTGTACAGCAATGCACAGACCAGTGCTATACCACTTAGAAGAATGTTTGAAAAAAAAAAAAAAATTAAACCAGGCCTGAAGGCTACAGATTAAAATCACCCATCATGGGCTTGGTAGCATAACTTTCTGTCCACTTCCACTAGGCCAACATAGCTCTCTCTATGTTGTCATTGTTATTATTGTTAAACACTAATGGGTTTTTAACTAGAAGGCCTTATCACATCACCCCACTCCCCTTAGCAAATCAACTTTCCACTCTACAGGTCACCCATCTTGGCCCACAAGCTTCTGTAGAACCCAACTCCTATAAACAGCTTTCAAAACGGATTCCAACCCCATGCTGGCAACCAAAAGGGTATTTAACTAGGAGGCCTTAGCACCTTGCCTAACTCCCCTTAGCAAATCAATGCCAATACACTGGAAATTTTCTTAACATTTGTACTAGTTTATTTACAAAATTTGTATACGCTGTTTGTCTGGCCAGACTCTTCCAATTTTCCTCACTTCCCCACCAAATTTGTACAACCCCATGATTAATCCCCACACCTGCACATCCTCACTGCTCTGCTTCCACTCCACCCTCATGTTCTTGTGATGGTGAATAATGCTGCTATGAACATTGGCATATAAATCTCTCTTTGTGCCTCACTTCTCATTTTCTCAGGGTATATTCCAAGCAGTGGAGTAGCTGGGTCATAAGGAATTTCTACATTCAACTTTCTAAGGAAGTGCAAAACTGCCTTCCAGAATGGTTGACCATTTCACAGTCTCACCAACAATATATAAGAGTTCCTATCTCTCCACATTCTCTCCAACATTTATTACTTGCTGTCCTGTAAAACTTTACCACTGTTAACTGGAATGAGATGGTATCTCATTGTGGGTTTTTTCTGTTTGTTTTGTTTTGTTTTAGCATATACCGTTTATTAAAACAAAGCAAGAGAAACAAAGGACATACCTTTTTCAAATTCTTTCTATTTAACACAGCTTTTTAACCAAGAAACAAAACATACAAACGTAAGAAGTATGTACAGGTAGAAAAATTGTACACTCACCAACCAAAAAATGCAACCTTAGTTGAAGTAAAAACGAAAGCGGTGCTTTATAGTTGCTTTAGTTTCCCTAGGGGACGCAAGTCAATGCTTATCAGCCTTCCTCAGAAGAGAACATTTTGATTAATATCAAGGATATTCTTCAGATATAAGAGATAATCTTTGATTAATAATTATACTGCATTGCCATTCCAGGCATTAACAACTCTGTGGCACCTCTAGAAAGAGCGCCTTTGAATTCTAGGAACACACATTAAACTATCCAGCTTCCAAACCGCCCCTTCTCAGCTTTCTCCCTGCACAAGGAACTTGAGTGGTGAAGGTGTCACCACCGGGGAAGTACAACCTTAGTTACATAATTTACTTCACCGTTTGCAGACTTGGCATCAATTACTTACTTCATAATTCCTGCTTAAAGATAACAACATTTTAATAAAATTGGCCAAAAAGCTGGGAGAGACTGTGTCATGGCGCTTGACCGACCACTGAGGTCTGACACAGCTTCATATCACAGCCATGTGAGCGGCCTTTCCTTTGCCCACCCATGGGTTCCAAGATGCACATAAAAGAGGAAACTGCTTAGTCCACTATACAGAGGCTCCCTGCATGTGCAACTCCTGTAGCACTGTCACACGGGGCCGGGTAGGGAGGGGAGAAATCAACTTCATTTCTACCCTTTATTATCAACCTACAGCCAGTCAGCACAGCATCTCTCACGTTACTGCATGGCATTCTTCCTGATGTTTGCAATCAGCCTTCTGCCATGTTCTCTGTGGTCCACAGGCTTCACATCTGTCACTGAGGCCTTGATTTAAGACTCATCATTGTAGGTCTCTAATTTGACTCTTATCCTGAATGTAAAAGACCGAAAGTTGACATTCTGGAAAACTTCGTCAAATGCCTGCTCATTCTTGTCTTTTAATTCTCCCAGTTAAGCTGTGCTCTGTCCAAGCACCGTCTCTGCAGACTCTTGGAAACCTGTGACCCACTGATTCTCCAGAAAGTCTGCAATATTTACTGACCGGATCATGTGGTACTTGAAATTGGGAAATTCATTGTCACACTTCTCACAGCAGTACAATCTGTTCTGCTGATCAGTCACTTTCTTATTGCAGTCCTGAGTTAGGCAGGACTGGTACATATAGTTCTCCTTGCGAAGATAAACCACTGCTGCCACACAGCTAAAATAGTCTGGTTTGTCACCCTGGCCCAGGTTCTCAGATTTGACCTCATATAAAGTCTTCCCATTGGTGTTGCTCCCTCCTGCTCCCCCAGACTTCAGATCAGAGATGGAAACACCATCCAAGGCTTGTCCTTCGGAATCAAACCATCCACAAAGCTTATAGGCCTCTGGGATATCAGGATTCACAATAGCAGTGCTTGAAGACAGGACAGAGAGTCTCCAGCCACCAAAATCAGAAAGTCTGGCTCCTTCAATGGCCATCATGGGTTGTCTAGAACCGTCAAATCTATCAGCATCTTCTCCCCACAGAGTAGCCAACACCACCATCCCCGACAAGTCCATCAAACAGATATTTCTCTTAGAAACTTCTCGGTGGTTAGACTTCACTATGACCTTGGTGGCATCTTCCTTCATAACTCTTGCAGATCCCAATTATGTCGACAATTGAGTCTTTGGGCTTGTTCTCGAGGTCAACAATCCCCGTGAAATCAAACTGAACTGTGGGTAAATGATGATCATCTTCACAGGGCAGGACAGAGGTGTCATTATTGAAGGTCACCTCATAGTCATTTTTAGCTGTTGAAAATTTTTTGTTAGCAGTCTTCAGGGTACCTTTCGAGAAATAATAGACCTTGTTCACTTCAATAAGAGGAAAAAACTTGTCCACTTGCTCATTAAAAGCAGTCACTTGGATTTCACCACTTTCATCAACCACTTCAATAGAGAAGAACTTTCCTTCCCCTCGAGAGTTGCTCCAGGTATGAATTTGACTTTTGTTGGTAGCACGAGCACAAATAGTCTACCTGGACTGGTAAGGGGTGAGGCTGGCAATGGCCACCACTTTGGATGTCTGCGTGCCCCCAGCTGTGCTCACAAGGCTGGTACTTGGTGCTTTTCCAAATGCCTTTGAGGTACCACAAGCATTTGGTACAGTGGACGCCATTCCCGCAATCCCATTCTGTGGCTGGGGTTTGCTGCCTGGTGGGCTGTTGGCTACAACTGGAGTAGAAACGACTTGCTGTTGCTGTTGTCCAAGTCTTTCATTATAGGGCAATGGATTATCAAGCTTCATCCCAACTGCTTCAGCTGATTTCAAAATGTCCAACTCCATCAAAATAACTACTCTCCTTCCATCTTTCAGAGTGTTCATGATACATCGGTTAATCTGGCAAATACAGTTGCTTGACAATCGTTCTTCCTCAACAAGAGGATTCAACTGTGTTGTCAGCATGAAGGAGGATAGAGTGTTCACTCCATCACTCATGAGCAATCGATAACGGGGCGGACTATTCCCTGTAGTAATGGGGTGAACGTTAATGACTTGGAGACAGGTTTCATAGTTGTATCTCCTTGTTGCATTATGGCTGCAACGACCCCCTCGCTCAGGTGCCCAACCATGTTTCCAGCGAGCTAACTCCCGCGCTCAGACTCCGCAGCAGTTGCTACTCCACTCCCCCTCATTGTGGGGTGTTGTTTTTTTTAATTTCTTTTGTAATTAAATTTTATTAATTTTAATGAACATTTGCAGAGATTTTGGATTTCCATTCATTCATTGTTGCACTATTTTCTCCACCACCAACCCCCAGTTCGTTCCTCTTTTTTTTCTTCCCTTGAAAGTCTGTTTTAATTGTCCCATTGCCACAGTGCTTGTCAAAGCCAATTCTGATTAATCTCCTTTGTCAGTGTGTCCTTTGCCGTTCCCTATCACTCCTCCCTGAGACTTCACCCTGATTCATATGGAAAACTGGATGGCATATTCTTAGCTACTTTCTGTTGAAAAGGGATGCTATCGGTTTCAGGGTGAAGATCTTCTCTCACTACTCTAAAGGGCCCCTTTGGCAATAGGAAACACATAGATATTGTGGAAATTGGTTTTGATTTGCATTTCTCTTAAGGCACATTGGGCATATTTTTAAGCATCATTTACAGATAAAGCAATGAGTTTCAGATAAATTTAATTCCAAGTGTCCAACAGCTTAAATAGAAGATCCAAATTTGAACCCTGCATCTGTGCCCGATGCTTATTTTCCAGAGCACTCATTTGGACCAATACCAAGACGACTAACTCAGGATCACCTGCAAATATTTTCTGGTGGAGACTTGATTCAGTGTAATAATTATAAATACTAGAAGTCTGGTTTAGTTTTAAAAAAAAATTACTACAGATGTTTACAAGCTAACCCTGGTTCCTATTTGTAGTTATTACCAACACAGAAAGAGAGCTAGCACCAGGACAGCACACAATAACAAGTAGAAATATTTGTATATTATATATTGTTATGTCCCATTGACTCACCTGAGACCCATAGCAACCCTATGTACATATTGATATAAATATTAATTTATCTTATTTTAAAATATTCTTATTTTGAAAATAAGTTTGAAAATGTATTACTTCATTCTTATATTTCTAAAAAATGACAGGCTTAAGATATCAATAGGAATGGTATAACACATAGAGACTCTTGTTTTATGATGATTTAGCAATACTATATTTCAAGAAAGAAATTTTATTTAAAATTTGTGATTAAATCCTTCTGTATACTTACATCACTTAAAGATTTGCTGATATTCTTAAAATTGATCTGTAGGCTATTTCCAATGATTGGGAGAGGAGTGGGGCCAGGTGGGAGCTTCCCTTTCCCATGGCTCTGTTTCCAGAGTGAAAGGAGAAGCAGGGAGGAGACACACACCAAAACCACAACGAGATCCATTAAGTCTTCTCTTCTTACTTGGGAACAACTGTTTTCCAATTCTGAATTTATATAATACTCTCTGCAGCTGAATTTTTGATTCTAATAAATAAAAGTGGCAGCTGATCAAATAAATTGTTATCATCTCTTCTGAGTGAACTTTGATTCACAAGGATAAAAATTAATTTGTGGTTAGTTCTGAGAGCATTATGCAATCTAAATTGTGCTAACGGAATTAAATGTTGTTGGTTTGGACTCACCTATGAGCTTGACATAAGAAGGATCTGGAAATCAATTTCTGTAAAGATGGCAGCCAACAATACTTTATTGAAACATATTTGGAACATATGGGGTTACCATGAGTCATGATTGTCTCCAGGTCTGTCAGTGTTTCTTATCTTTGTTTTTTTCATCTTCTCCTTCCAGAATATAAGGGAGAATACAGAACAAAAAACACTGACATTGGGAGCTTTGGTGGCCTACTGGCAAGAAGCTGCCCAGCAATGCTAAAGGCATGATTTGAATCCACAAGCTGTTCTGCTGGACAAAGAAAGACAACCTCTTCCTGTGCCAGTGGGATCTGATTCGACAGTACACAGCAACAACAACAACAACAAAGAAAAACCACCCCAAAACATTGACAGGTTTTAAGGCCAATTAGCTGAAATATTCCAACAAGTTGTAACCATAAAACTTCTATAAAAAGAATGAGAACAGTGTAGAGATAGTTGAATCTGACTTATACTAACACAACAAAAGGAAACTGTCTCCATCACGAATATCCACTGTAACAATCTTATCAGTGTTTGTCTTTTGTGATTGAGCTATTTCACTCAATTTAATGCTCTCTAGATTCTCATGTTATTTTGTACTTTATGAATACTTCCTTGTTCTTTAGTGCTGCATAGTATTCCATGTGTGGCTATACCATCATTTTTCTATTTGTTTGATGATGGGCATTTGAATTGTTTCCACGTACTTGCTACCATAAATAATGTTGCTATGAACATGTTGCTGTTGTTATGTACTGTTGAGTCAGAACCAAGCCATAGTTAACTCTCCAGAGGGTATTCAGAGGGAGTAAAACACATGAGAGAGTTGATTACACATCTTCTTCCTGTGTAACAATTGGTACATTCAAACTGCAAGCCTATGGTTTGGCAGCACAATTCCTATCACTAAGCAAGCCACCAGGTTACTTATGTCTGTGTCTCAGATCTCATTTTCTTTTTTTTTCATTATTTAGAGAATACTTTATTAGTTTCTGTAAACAAACCCATGTAGATAAGACCTTACATATTTAATACAGTGCGTTACCCCTGTACAAATGGAAAAAAAAAATTTAACATTTCTAGACCAATATGGCTGTTAATTTCTGTACAATGCCAACTCAACACGGTACAACTGGGATACTTTTTCCAAAGTTGACAGCACAGCTAGTTTCCA